GCATTCTTCGGAGAGCTCGGGGGGCCTCCGCGGACTTGCGGCTTTTTGGAGGCCTCTCGGAGCGTCTCGCGAGTTCTCTCCTTGGAGTATCCTGCAGGCCTCCCGGGGCGTCTTGGGAGCCTCCTGGAGGCCTCTCAGAGGCCTCTGTGGCGGTCTTCCGAGCCTCTTGGGGCGTCTTGGGTGTCCCGTGGGGGCCTCTTGGGGGCTGCTTGGGGGCCTCTTGGGGGCCTCTTAGCGCCTCTCAGGAGCCCCTGGGGGGCCTCTTGGGCCGACTTCGTACCCTCTTGAGGGCCTCTTGGGCTGTCTTGCAGCGATCTTGGAGGCATCTTTTGCAGTCTTGGGCGGTCGCAAACCCAAACAGGCGAGAACCTCAACATCTTTCAACACCTTGAGGCACTCATTGTGTCTTGCCTCCTCAGGCTCTCTTGGATGGCCTCTTGGAGCCCTCTTGGGCCGTCCTGGAGGCACCTCTGGCGGTCTCGAGGCCGTCTTGGGAGCCTCCTGACTGGTCTTGGGACACCCTGGGCTGTCTTGGTGTCTCGGAAGCCGTCTTACAGTCAAGACGTTGTAACAAGGACCTCTTTGGACTCATGATGGGGCTCTGGATTTCGGGCCGCTCCTTTGACCCAGGTCGTGGAACTTGCTCGTGGCCGAGGCTCGCCGTGGCCAGAACTGCCCCCCCTCGCTCCCCACTCGGTGTTCCTGGCCGTCCCGGCCGTCAGTCGGAGGTTGGTAGACCTCCTACCCTGACGCGTCGATTAGCGAATTGGCCGTTTCACGTTCTCGAGAGGGCGTCGCGGCCGTCATTTTTTGCGGGTCCAGGTCCGTCGGTTTCGGTCCCAGGCCGTTTTCATTAGAGGGTGGTTTACCAAAGGGAGGCTTGTCCATCGCCGAGTCTGGAGGCGGAAGCACCCGTCAGAGCGCAGTTCCAGGGGGAGGGCGGTCGCAGAAACACGCGCACCCGGCAGGGAGAGGGGCGGTCCGAGAGAGCACACAGGACCTTCCAGACCGAAGAGAAGCATTTCAACACGCCCACTCCGTGCAGGCACGGTGGCGGATTGTAATACTGATTATGGTTATTGTATCGAGTCTCACGAAGTTTCGAGTCATCTTTTTGGCCGAACGGTTCTATCGACGGTTCGTTTGTCTGCTCTTTGTCATCTCTCGCCAGCTACACGATACGGCTAGTGTTAACGAGACGCGAGGAGGTGCCATCTCAGTCTGCTCGGCCTGCCTCGAAAGAGCCTGCTCACCGCGCACCAGTGAAAAAAGCATCCACACCGCTTCGCGGGGACACGGCCAGACAGATGCTCCGTCAGCCGCTCTGGCTGACGCTCCCGGGGACGTGCTTGCCAGGGGGGCGCGTCTGTGAGCGTGCCTGTGCCGGGTGACGTTCCTCCGGCCGCCTGAGGCCCCGCCCGCCTGTGCTCTGTCTCCTCAATTCGAGCTTTGCGTAGCCCGCCTAGCTTTTAACCGGAAGAGGCTCGCTCTCGACCCGCAGACCAAAAAACTGTGCCGGGTGGCGTGGTTGGGGACGTGTACGCGCTTGGGCACGCGTCAGGGGGCGCCCCTGGTGGCGTGCCCGGGGGGCGCGCCTGGATCCGTGCGCTGGTGGCAGCGTGCGGTCGGGGTGCCCGGGGCAGCGTCCGGCGACGTGTCCCGGGGGCGCGTCGGGGGCCATGTCCCGGGGGTGTGCTCGGGGGCGTGCTCGGTGCCACTTGGACGGGGCCAGGACGAGGGTGAATCCGTTCCCGAGCGTTCTGGAGCGCTCTCAGAGAGTGCTGGAGCGCTCTGAGCAGGCCGCGGTGCCCGAGACATCCTCCAGAGCCGCCCGATCTCAGAGCAGGGCTGGCCGAAACGGTGTTTTGGCCATCTCGTGGGCCGTTTTGTTCTCTCTTTGTTTCGCATGGAAGGCGAGGCGCAGGCAAAACGAGGAAGAACGAACAACAAAACGAAAACGAAAAACACCGTTTAGGCTGAGCCCTGTCTCAGAGATCCTCGATGTATCCTCACCCGATGTTATCCTCGTCCTGGTTTCGTGTTTGCCGTGCCTCTGCCTGGGGCCACCCCCCGCCTGCGCCTCCTCCTCCCTCTCTTGCCGCCCCTTGCATGCCTGCAAGCGGCTCCTCTTCGCCGCACCGCCAGACGTGTCCGTGGGGCGGGGCAGGCCTTCTGCCCGAGACGCCTTGGCAGCTCACACTGTGTGATCGTTTTCGTATTCATTGCTTTGCCGATCGGCGCGGGCCTTCGCACCCCGCCCCTTCCCCCCCCGTGGAGTACAGTGCCGTTTTTAATACATGCTCCGCGTGCGGATCATGTATTAAACATGCAGGGATTCAGTGTTCAAAGCAGCGATGAGTTCATGCAGAAGTTTATTCATGCATTAATAATGTATCAAACACTTTTTTAAACCTATGTATTAAAACCTGCCCTGTAGATCTTGGCTGTTCCTGGCGCCTGTTCCGAACATGCGGAGTCTCTTCCACAGGGCGCACCTGCTGCAGACCGCCGCACTCTTGAGCAGAGGGCCGGGGAGCCGGACCTCCCCCTCCTCCCCTCCGCCTCCTCCTCCTCCTCCTCCTCCTCCATCTCCTCCTCTCCCTCCTCCCCTTCCTCCTCCTCCTCCTCCTCCCCCTCCTCCTCCTCCCCCCCCTCCCCTCCTCCCTCCTCTCCTCCTCCTCCTCCTCCTCCTCCTCCTCCTCCTCCTCCTCCTCCCCTCCGCCTCCTCCGCCCAGTGTCGAGACGCCGAATATCAGGAGGAAGAAAAACACACCGACACGATGAATCGTCCCCTCCCAGGAAGATATGGGAAAATATGGGCAGTGGGGGGGGGAAGGCACGAACCCAGAAGATATGGTAAAATATGGGGGGTCCTGTTAGTTGTGTGTGTGTGTGTGTTTATTTGTGTGTCCTTGGGCCCCTTTCAGAACAGGAAACGTCCATTGTGATCATGAAGCTGGGAGCTCCCAGCTGCACGGATGCAGGCCCGGCTGTTTCAGACGGAGGCTCTCGCTTTGGCGCCGCGCTCGCTCGCTCGTGGAGCTCCAGCGCCTACACGGAGAGAGCGGAGGTCGTTGTCCTTTGGGCGCCGCGTAATGGGGGGGTCATAAATGGGGGGGTGTCGCGGGTGGTCCAAAAAGGTACCCAAACGGTACCTAAACGAGCCCCCTGGGGCTCCGGAGGGGCCCGAAAGGGGCACGAAAGGGGACCTTTTTTGACCCCCCCATTTGTGACACCACTCCCCAAACCATCCCAACCCAACCCGAAGGCTTCCATTTGCTCTCCATTTCCAGTTGGGGGGGGGTCGGGGAACACTGCAAAAACATATGGAACCCGTGTCCCCCCCACCCGAAATTCGGGTCAAATTCGGGTCTTCGGGTTGGGTTGGGGTGGTCTGGTAGGTAGTCAACAGACGTGCGGATGGTGGAGAGGTGATTCCCCAGACGTAGTCCACGCCACAACGCTCCGCCCCATCGTGCTAGAAGATTGAAGCAGTGTCATACAGGCGGACAGCCTGTGGTTTTCAACGTCTCTCTCGCTCTCTCTCTCTCTCTCTGTCTCTCTCTGTCTCTGTCCCTATCCCTCTGTCTCTGTCTCTCTCTCTCTCTCTATCTCTCTCTCGTTTTTTTTTTTTTTTTTGTTTCTCTCTCTCTCTATCTATATATACACACATCTAGGTATGTCTTTTGCGCACTGTCATTTCGAGCGTTGGCAACAATCATACGGATTGAAGGCAAGCGGTTTCCACAAATTGGTTCGTACTCGGTTCAGCGCGGCGCACATTCGTGCCAGTCGTCGATAACGGTTGAGCGGACGATGTCACGGTGGTTTTCAGCATGCGCTTGCCGCTTTTACGATGCTGTAGTCGTCTAAAATGCCATGCGCTTGAAACAGTTATCCAGGCGGAGGGCAGGCGGTTTTCAGAGTGTGGCTCCCGCGGGGGATCTGCTAATTTCAATGGTCCGATATATGCAGTTACTCAGCAGTTACGCGGATGGGGGGGCCGCTTTACGCTTTCTCTTACCTTGTGGTTCCAGATAACAGCACATGTGCAATGACTGCCCGAATGCAGGGCTGCTCCTAAAACTGGGTTTTCGTTTAACACCTTGATGACCTGTTTGATCATCGGAGGTTGGGGGGTGAGAGAGGAGTGAAACGGAGTCGCACAACTCGGTCGCCTTATGTGGTCACTGCCCGCTGCAAGGTCGGTGGCGTTGCTTTGTCGCGAAGCTTCCCTGCATGTATCCACCGCCGCCAAGGTGGCTGGTCTGGCAACCTTGCAGGTCTTTTTGGTTACCTTTGAGGCTTCAGTTAGCACCATATTGCTGCTTGCGCTTCAAATTCCCTGCGTCGAGCTTTCGCTCCGCGGGTTCTTTGGCCGCTGTACTTTGCCTTTGCAGCGCCTCTCGTTTTCCCATCACCAATCTGCATGGCCGTGACTGGATCCCTTCATCATGGCGCGTTCGTTAAATTCGTTCGCAATTTGCACCTCCACCTGCCGACCGCGCCTGGGGCTCCTCTGCGCCGCCGATTTGAAAGTGTGTGTGTGTGTGTGTGTGTGTGTTGGACTGCCACTTCCCATGCATTTTTCAAACAACTCCCGTATTCATAGTTGTGATGGGTTTGGGGGTCATCGCGATGGGGCTACTCGACGTCTGGCGCTTATGCGTTGCTTCCACGGAGCTGGTTTTGGAGCGACGGGCGCTTTTGTTGGGGGGGGGCGGGCGGGCGGGGTCCTGGGGCGCGATGTGGGCAGAGTCTCGAGGCGGATCCGGTCGTGGCGTTGGGAGGCTCCCCCCCCAGGTGTGCCAGAATGGCGCAACGCGCACAAAACGAAAAGCTGAGTTTCGAACCTCGGCCCTTGGGCCCTCCTCCTCCCCCTCTTCCTCCTCCTCCTCCTCCTCCTCCTCCTCCTCCTCCTCCTCCTCTTGCGCCTCCGCCTCCGCCTCCTCTTCCTCTTTCTCCTCCTCCTCCTCCTCCTCTTTCTCCTCCTCCTCCTCCTCCTCTTCCTCTTCCTCCTCCTCCTCCTCCTCCTCCTCCTCTTCATCCTCCACAATTGTACAATATGAATGCTTATCTCCTCTCTCCCCTGGTGGCGTTCGGGAAATATTCGGCCCCCCTCCGCGTACTGTTTTTTACGCACAGGAATCCTGGGAAGCGTTCTTTTGTTCTTTTGTTTTCTTCTTCTTCTTCTTCCAAAGTGCTGCTCCCGTCGAAGCGCTGGCCTCATTTTCGGGCTACCGCTCGTTCCGAATCGTGCTCCCGCTGCATCGCTGGCCTCATTCCCGTGCTTCCGCTCGTTCCGAGTCGTGCTCTCGCTGCAGCGCGGGCGTCATCATTTCAAACGCCATTCCACGGCATCTTTTTCGGTCCTTCCAAACAGGCCCTGAAGTATAGAAAATGGCCACCCGAAGAAACCATCGGAAGTGATGCCACATTTGGTGCCGACTCGATGATTTTTTGGGCCGCAGAAGCCCCACCCCATTTTGGGGCGTCGCCACGCCATGCTATGTCATGCTACGCGTCCTTATTTCTGCGCTTCCGCGTTTTTTTTGTGTTGCTTTCGTTGTTGTTGTTGTTGTTGTTGTTGTTGTTGTTGTTGTTGTTGTTGTTGTTGTTGTTGTTGTTATTGTTGTTGTTGTTGTTGAACATTATTACTTCTAAAGAATAATTATTGTTGGGACCCCTGGTGCACGGCCCCCTCGCCGCGCCTAGGCCGCAGCCACATTTTCATCATTTTCGTGAGGAAGTCTCAGGCAAAACGGGTTGGTCCGGATCCGGTTGTTTTGTTTCCCCCCGCTTTCCCTTGCAAAAAACAATATAAAATGACATTTTTTGTTCTAACATAACCAAACTTCAAGAATCCCTTGCAAAAAATAAGGTAAAGTGGACATTCGCGCGCGCAAGACGAAATCCTTCCAAAACCTTAGTTTTCGTAGCGATTTTAACGTAAAAACATCAAAAAACAATGGTTAAACAAAAAAAATGTCAAAATTTCATCCCGCGCGCTCTTGCGGATTCGTAGGAAACCCAACACTTTTTAATCATTTCTGTCAAACGGGCTTTTGCGAGCAACTTTTTCGAACTTCTGCAACAACGGTTGCGCACCTGCCAGGGCCATCATCCCTGTCAAATAATACCATGCGGGACACATTCGTTTTTTCTTCGCGCGCGCACGCCGTCGTCGTCGGCCGCGGGGCCCTGAATAGTAGCCACGGTCGTCCGCATGCCACGAAGTGAAGTGTCCGAACGTCATAGGGCGGGAAGCTGGGTGTGGGTGGTGGCGAAGAGTCGTTTGGAAATTTGGTAGAGCTTGAACCGGCCCCCCCACAAAGTGGGGGTATTGCCCGCCTCCTATGAAAACCCTGGCACTGGTGAGAACGGAGTGTCCCTACGTGCTAGTAATTGTAGTAGTAGTAGTAGTAGTAGTAGTAGTAGTAGTAGTAGTAGTAGTTGTAGTTGTAGTTGTAGTTGTAGTTGTAGTTGTAGTTGTAGTTGTTGTGGTTGTTGTTGTTGCTGTTGCATTTGCTGTTGCTGTTGTTGTTGTTGTTGTTGCTGTTGCTGTTGCTGTTGCTGTTGCTGTTGTTGTTGTTGTGGTTGTTGTTGTTGTTGTTGTTGTTGTTGTTGGTGTTGTTGAACATTATTAATTCTAAAGAATAATTATTGTTGGGACCCCTGGTGCACGGCCCCCCTGCGCCGCCTAGGCCGCAGCTACATTTTCATCATTTTCGTGAGGAAGCCTCAGGTAATTCGATGTGATCAAGATCCGGTTGTTTTGTTCCCCCCCGCTTTCCCTTGCAAAAAACACTATAAAATGACATTTCTTGTTCTAATATAATCAAATTTCAAGAATCCCTTGCAAAAAATAAGGTAAAGTGGACATTCGCGCGCGCAAGACGAAATCCTTCCAAAAGCTTAGTGTTCGGAGCGATTTTAACATAAAAACATCAAAAAACCAATGGTTTTTCAACAAAAAAATGTCAAAATCTCATCCCGCGCGCTCTTGCGGATTCGTAGGAAAACCAACACTTTTTAAACATTTCTGTCAAACGGGCTTTTGCGAGCAACTTTTTCGAACTTCTGCGACAACGGTTGCGCACCTGCCAGGGCCATCATCCCTGTCAAATAATACCATGCGGGACACATTCGTTTTTTGCGCGCGCACAATGCACAATTGCACCATGCTGGGCACATGCGCGCCCCGAATAAGTGACCAAGTTCTGTGGGTGTGTACCCCATGCCAGTGTAGTAGCCACGGTCGTCCGCACGCCACGAAGTGAAGTGTCCCAACGTCATAGGGCGGGAAGCTGGGTTTGGGTGGTCGCGAAGAGTCGTTTGGATATTTGGTAGAGCTTGTAATGCCCCCCCACGAAGTGGGGGTATTGCCTGGTGTCGTATGAAAACCCTGGCACTGGGGAAAACACCGCGCGTTCGGGTAAAATGATTGTTGTTGTTGTTGCTGCTGCTGCTGCTGCTGCTGTTGCTGTTGCCGTTGCTGTTGTTGTTGTTGTTGTTATTGTTGTTTAGTCCACCCAAAATGCTGCTCTCGCTGAAGCGCCGGCCTCATTTTCGGGCGACCGCTCGTTCCGAATCGTGCTCCCGCTGCAGCGCTGGCGTCATCATTTCCAGTGCCATGCCACGGCATGTTTTTTTTTTTTTTTCTTTCCAAATCGGCCCCAAAGTCTAGGAAATGGCCTCCCGAAGAAACCATCGGAAGTGATTCCACATTCGGTGTCAATTCGTTTTGTTCTTCGGCCACATAAGCCCCCCCTACTTTGGGGCGTCGCCACGCCATGCTATGTCATGCTACGCGTTGATATTCGACACCATGCTATGCCATGTAATGCTATGCCATGCTACGGTATCATATTGTGCGAAGAGAGAGGAGATCTACGCCATGGCAGGGGATGGGAGGGAGGGGTAGGACGTCAGATATGATGCGAACGCACCTAGCTAGTCCTGCTTCTCCTCCGCCTCCTCCTCATCCCCCTCCCCTTCCCCCTCTCCCTCCTCCCCCCTTCCTCCTCCTGCTCCTCCTCCTCCTCCTCCTCCCGTTTACGTTAAGCATACCTTAGGTGAAAACATGTGATGTTTCGAACAACGAATGGCAGGCCTGTGCCCTGCAACAGGTGCGGAATATGGGAATGCGCCTCGCGGCTGTGGAAGAATGGACAAGTAAAGAAAGCAGAGTATGTTCCAGGCACGGGTGAAGCAAGGAACCTCCTCCACCTCCTCCATCTCATCATCACCCCCACCCAACCATCCGATCCCACAAATGTCCAGGGACCTCACCGAGGACAGCTCTCAGCTTCAACCCTCATCGAGGGTAGCTGGGAGTCCAGCGTTCGCGGCCTAAACTTGCGAGAGTGCCCTCCTCTGCACCAGTATTCAAACTCATAACCTGTATGCGATAGCCCTTGCCGGGGTTAAGATAGTCGCGACATTGTGTCGCTCTCTGACCGCAATGGCGTCGCAATGAAGAATGTCGTCTGCTCCCCCCTCCCCAACCGTGACCACCATCTTTCCACGTGCCCACACCCCCCGTCCCCAAGGTCAGAGTGCTGCTGGCTGTGATGCAAGCCTCGGTTGCTCTTATCCGTACATCATGGTGCGTACCACGCAGGCAATGAACAACATGTGGGACAGTGAGAGAACATACGCGTGCGATGCAATATGTACGTGCCACGCACGTTACACAAGACAACAGCCGAGATAGCATGTGTGCGAGGTCAGCTAAAAGTTGCCTTACGTAGCGCGGCATGGATAACTGAAGCGTCACATGTCAAATCGCTGATTGTGAGAGCTGTGGCAGAAACAAGGTTTGCCAGACACGTGAAACTAAATCTGGTGAGTGCAAGCATGGTTCAAGTCTCGGGCTGCTACTCAGGTCTTTTTTGGTTTACCCCTAACCACCTGGATCTGGGGCCGTGTGCTTTTTGTTTGTTCTCTTCGGGTTTCGCACGGACTTTTTTGGTGACTGCTGAATGTAGGCTGGCCCTGTGGGCTGGCCCTGTGGGCTGGCCCTGTAGTCTGGTCCTGTGGGCTGGCAAGATAGCTCGTGGGTGCTCCTCCTCCACCCCCCCCGTGCCCACTCCCCCCGCCCCCAAGGTCAGAATGCTGCTGGATGTGATGCAAGCCTGGGAGGTAGCAACGGATGCACGTTATCGGCATGCGTCCCAACAAATGCGCGGACGGTGCCTGCCTGGTCCTCCCCCTCCACCTCCATCTTCCGCAAAGCCAGCCATCCATGTTCCGTAGGACGACGCGCCAAATGCGCGCCAGAGTGAACGTCGCAACGGCGTTCGCTGCTGATCCTCCTCTCCTCCTCCTCCTCCCTCCTCCTCCTCCTCCCTCCTCCTCGCCTCCTCCTCCTCCTCCTCCTCCTCCCTCCTCCTCCTCCTCCTCCTCCTCCTCCCCCCCCCCCCTCCCCTCCTCCTCCCTCCACCTCCTCCTCCTCCCCCTGCCCCTGCTGCCGCTTCTCCTCCTCCTCCTCCTCCCCTCCTCCTCCTCCTCCTCATCCTCCTCCTCCT